CACATGTGCTTCCATTGTGAAAAGTATGGGCATGCAGTGTAGGATTGTTATCGTCTGCAGGGAAACAGGCAAAGGGCGTAGAAGAGTCGTCAACACTCTCTACAACAAGGGAAGTTGAACACCTAGCTGCAGGCCCCCCCCTTGAACATGGCGTTGCTGCTGGAGCTGCATCCAATGTCCCAGGTGAGAATGGAAGTTGACTTCCCTACTTTCCTCCCAAGGCTTAGTGTAAAGGACTTGAACTGCAGCAGCCTTGGTTTCAACGTCGGTTCGAGCTTCAAGAGCAGGCTGTTAATCAGATTCAGGCTCCTTGGAGAGTGGAGTTGATCTTCTTAAGCTGATCATCAACCGCCGATACATTCGTGTCTTGATTGATAACGGTTCCACAACTAATTTATTTTCTCCTAACGGGATTCGTAAGGCGGGCCTCGGAATGAAGCAAGTGGAATTGCAAAAGCCCTGTCAAACCTAGGTAGGCAACCAAGAGGGTGTCACCTCAACACATGTTGTCAAAGGTGTGCGCGTCACCTTAGACAAAAATCGCACTGTCACACATGAGTTGAATTTTTATGTCCTCGACAAGTGTCCCTTCGACGCGGTGATTGGTTTGGGCTGGTTAAAAGCCCATTGCCTAAGGACCATATGGGCAGACACTCAGTTCATGGTGCGTGACGCCAAGGGGAACAAGCGTACCGTCTTGCTGGATGAGACGCACGAATCCCCAGTGACTCTTTTGAGTGCGATGAAATTTTGCAGATCAATGCGCACACACAAAGAAGGTGAGCATGTGCGTGTAGCTCTCTACTTCTATTGTAAGAAATAAGTTTACTTCGGATCCAACTACTTTGAATTCGGTTGTTATTGTTGTAAACTCTCAAACTGATTTTCTCTCTCCTGATAAGGATGATCCTCCACCGGAAGTCCCAACAAACATTCGTCGTTTATAAGATCCATTTCCTAAAGTCCTAGCTGAACGTCGTGGGGTCCCCGAGCATTCGGTCAAACATAAGATCGAGATAATAGAAGGGAGTGTTCCTCCAAAGGGTTGCGTCTACCATATGGTACAAGGCGAGTTAAAGGATTTGAGGAGATAGATTGACGACATGATTGATCGTGGATGGATTAGGCCTGGTGAGTCCAAGTTTGGTGCACCTGTCCTTTTTGTGCCAAAGAAAGGAGGCAAACTCCAAATGTGTATCAATTATCGTGGCCTAAACCGTATAACCAGAAAGAATGCTTATCCCTTGCCTCGCATAGATGATTTGCTAGATGCTACAGGTGGGTGCAAGGTCTTCTCCAAGATCGACCTAAAGTCTAGCTACCACCAGATTGAAGTTGATCCGAACCACCAGCACAAAACTGCATTCAAAACACGCGCTGGGCTGTACAAATTCATCGTTATGCCCTTCGGTTTCACGAATGCACCAATAACATTTCAGTGCCTCATGTACAAGGTTCTCCGCCATCAACTCGACAGTTTTTTGTTGTTTACCTCAACGACATCCTAATTGTCAGCAAGTTCATGAAAGAGCACGTCAAGCACCTTAGGGTCCTGCAGGTCCTCAAGGAGGCACACTTGCACCTCAACTTAGAGAAATATGAGTTTGGAAGGGACAACGTCATCTATCTTGGGCACCGGTTGTTTGAAAACGGCCTTGAGCCTGAGGCAACCAAGGTCAAGGTCATACGAAAGTGGCCTCAACCGGCGAACGTACGCGAACTGCGTTCCTTTCTTGGTTTGGCTTCGTATTAACGGAAAGTTTGTGCCTAATTTTTTTGTCATTGCTATCGCCCACTCTCGAGACTAACATGCAAAAATGTCACTTATGTGTGGTGTGAGAAATGCTAGACTTTCAAGCCTTGAAAGAGACTTTGGTAAGTCATCATTTACTCCGTATTACGGATCCCAACCTCACGTTCGTGGTCACTACGGACGCAAGAAAGTATGGGATTGGCGCAGTGCTGCAACAAGATGATAGCGAGCTCGAGTATTACAGCAAACGCATGCCCATATATGCATGAGCTCTATGCCTTTCGAGAGACGCTCACATATTGGAAGCACTACCTCTTGGGTCGTCACTTCAAGGTTTAGTTAGATCATCAGACCTTGCAGTGGATAAAAACGCAAACTGATCTCTCTCCGACGTTGACCCGCTGGTTGCATAACATTGATGTTTACAATTTTGAACTGAAACAGAAGAAAGGTTGTTATAATTGTGTTGTTGATGCTTTATCGCGTCATCCCGAGTTTTCGACTTGCCTTGTGAGCTCCTATGACCTCCTAAGGAAACTGAAGGAGGATCTAGTCGAACACACTGCCAAGGATCCGAACCTTAGTCCCATCCTTGAGCAGATCAAGGTTGACCCTAGCAGCCAGCCTAATTTTCACGAGGGCGAGGGTCTTGCATTTCGACGCTACGGGAAGTTTGATCGTCTGTGTGTGCCCAACCATGCGCCTCTCCAAACTCATTTCTTGGATCTGGCACATGGTCGGAGTGGATGTTACGGACTCCGCCAGGGCTCGATCCCTGGTGCATCTTTTTGTTGTTTCTGCTGCTTCCCGTTTTCAACCTGGCACCCTTTTTCCGAACCCCTCCTTTGGCACCATCGGATTTTGGACAATTGGCGCCATGCTGCAATTCGGGTGCCACTTTCAAATACCGCACTTTTCAGTTCTGCCCTCGGGGCTTTTGAAGATCTGCCCCCGGTACTCTATACCGGACACCCGGTACTTATGCCAGTGCCCCGTACAGTACGGGTACACGTCTCGTACCACTTTCCAACTGCTGTACTCATACCCAGTGTGACTTCCTCCTGTTTCGGCATTCGGAATCCAAGACTTCGACTTTGCGTCCTTGTCACTGTCTGCGTCCGACCCTCAGTGGTGTCGAGTGAGTGAGTGTGTGTGTGTGCTCTCACTCTCTCCCTCTATCTCTCCTCTCCTCGGCTCTCCCTGTCTCCCTCAGCCTCGCACTCGTTACACTGGTATCGGAGCACTCTTTCGACCCTCCCTCTCCGTCGTCGCCACCGGCACCATCATCGTCGCACCACGGGCGCTGCCACGTCATCATCATCATCGTCCTGATCGTCACTTGTCATGCCACGTCATCATCATCGTCGTGCTTGTCATCGTTGCGCCACGTCACCAGCGCCGTGCTCGTCGTCCTCGTAGCTGCGCCGCGCCTTCCTCGACATCGCCGTCATTGCCTACCCGACGCAGATAAGTTATCAACAACAATTTTAATTTTTTATTATAATTTCTATTCTTCTTCTTCTTCTTCTTCTTCCTCCTCCTTGTCGCGTCTACCCCAACCCCGACCC